TCCGAAAAGACATATACTACTTACCAGTGGTCCAGTAATAATGACCTGGTACTACCAGTGGTCCAGTAATAACACCCTGGTACTGCCAGTGGTCCAGTAAAAACACCCTGGTACTACCAGTGGCCCAACAATAACACCCTGGTACTACCAGTAATGCTCTAGTAGCAATAACTTAGTATAACCAGTGGTCCAATAATAATGACCTGGTTATACTAGTGGTCCAGTAATAATGACCTGGTACTACCAGTGGTCCAGTAATAATGACCTGGTACTACCAGTGGTCCAGTAATAATGACCTGGTACTACCAGTGGTCTAGTAATAATGACCTGGTACTAACCAGTCGTCCTTTAAAAATGACCTGGTACTACCAGTAGTCCAGTAATAAATGACCTGGTACTACCAGTGGTCCATTAATACTACCCTAGTTCTACCAGTGGCCTTGTAATAATCTGGTACTGCTAGTAGTCCAGTAATAAAACCCTGGTACTACTAGTGGCCCGGTAATAATAGCCTGGTACTACCAGTGATCTGGCATAACCATTGGTCCAGACATGGAACTAACAGTGGTCAAATATCAATATCAATAGCCTCGTACTTCCGAGTGGCCCAGTAACAGTACCTGGTACTACTATGGTCTAGTTAATGCCAAGATACTGTTGGGTTTGGTGACCACGGTGACCACGAATTACCATATTCTGACTTCATTGAGCATCGGAACATACTAGAATGCATTATAATTTGACTATACACTTGAGCTTCGACAGAATTCCTTTAGACATTAAAAGCCATTAAACTAGACTTGATGTATGAAAGCATACGACTCAAGGTAAAAAGTTCTACAATGAGGCATAATCATCATCAATAAACAAAAAGACATATATTTAGAGTGACACTGAAAAAAGCAGATTATCAAATATGGTTGACATTTTCAGATGTAAATTCTTGAAACAAACACATTTCGACTCTAATTGAAGACCTTAAACAATCACAAATAATCTGCATTTTATTACTATGCACATGGGCACATATTTGAATTTATCACAGGAGATACATTGACCTGTGGGTAGATTATTCCCAAAAATAATTTGAAAAATAAAATCTATTTGGTCGATTCTGACACATATCGCAAATATATGAAAATTTGGAAAAAGAATATTAAAATATCTCCATTCCTGAAATGTAATTTTAACTTTAAGTTTATTAATTTTATACATATACTTTCAATATTTCCAGCAAAACTTTTATATTATGTACATGTATTTGAGGTATATTCAATAGGCCACACAAGATCGACTTTCACTAGTAGGTCCATAACACCATACACCGTAATATTCCGGTATGGGTTCGGTACAGGCTCGATATCTCCACTGCACAAAACCTAAAATATAAAATACCTAAGCTTGTAATATTTACAGTGTAGGTTTATGATATACATGGTATAGATATAATTCATAATGACGTAAGGCAAGTCAAGGATATGTCGAACCAGGTTCCTCTTTATAAGTGATTTAAAGTGAAATAGCCTCGATGAAGATTCAACGTGTGGTCAAGACAGACCTTACATAAAAAAATAACAATATTTCATTTTAGTGCACATCATTCAAAATTATGTTTGATATCATCTAGGTATTTTGACTACAGAGTGCGGATACTGCCTTGGACCACCAACTGGTTTGCTGTTGATCTAGGAATCCAATAGACAGTTATTGAAGTTATGTACATGTAATTTAATACAGACTGCTTTGACGACAAGGGCTTCTGTCGGTATATAGCCTAGAGAAACATATAGCCCAATCTTACCGAGATCTTTGTCCTCGTAACAACTTCCCCATGCTGTCCATTCACTGAAACCACCGTCGGTGCTTAATCTATATTCAGATATAGTTAGTCCAGCTCCCCATACCTAAAACAATAGTGACATTTGTATACATATACTTAGTCATATCAACAATATGGATGCCCTTATTATTACCAACTTGAACAACGTTAATGGTGTGTTATTACCAACAAAGGTTAATGTCTTCTGAAATAAAGTTTTGAATGGTGTATGATGTCGAAATCATAACAACATTCGGTTCCGAATAATATAAACAATGTTGTTCGAGCTCGATTCCTACCAAAACAGCAAAAATTGTATGGGTATTGCACATTGTACAATATGGATTACTATTTTCTTTGTCTAATCTGTTTGTAAAATCTACATAGAACAAAAATAGTAGGTAATCCTACTGTTTTAACTAATTCCCAGACATATATGACGAATAAAGTATACGTTACCGCAAATTCCGGCATTATCATATAAAGATAAGAAAGAGAAGGTAGTTACCGCTGGTGGCCAGAAAGAGGTAGCTGATAGAGAACCTGGCCGAGACTGAAACATTAAATATAAGACATACAGATCGAAAAAAGGGGTGAGGCTAGTCGAGAGATACACAGAAAAAGGGTTAAATTTAGATATTATCAGAACTATTGCCCTAATGCAAGCTGTTTAACATCTAGAAACACCTACATCTTACCCTAGATTCAAGGGTATTTGTGTTAAGCCTATATCTTAACCTGTTGCAAGAATCAGATAAATATATATCTACAAATAGAATAAAATTGAAATGCCTTTTACAAAAAATATAAGATACTTTTATAAAGTAGAGCGACTGTAATCATATAATCCGGTTTTTTGACATAATCAAAGCTCACCAGCTTACCAGATCTTACTATAGATGAATGAAACATGACCAAACATAGTTCTTCAAGCAAAACGGTATATGTATTTCGATAAAGTATTTAAAGCAAGTCATAATTAGTTAGTTTTCAATTATTTGCATCCGTCAGAAAAAATAAACGTGTCATTCTGGTCAAAAAAATTTTATTTGTCATGAATTTTCAACCGAGAAGATTTTTTTCATACTGAAATTTCTAGATTGTCGGCCTTTAAGGTTCGGAAGTAAGGCTATCAAAACCTAAGAGCAACGCAGTTAATTTCATTTGCACTCAAAACTCAAGCAGGGCGTTATAAGACAGTTAACCTATATTATTATGATAGACTAGGATGTTGATAAGCCAAACTAGGGATGCTATTTTTACTTAAAACACGTATAGAACTCGTAGTTCAATAACAACACTTACAGCTACCTATTTAAAGAGAGCCAGGATGTTGACATAATAAAAAACTAAATCACATGCATGCTATAACTTTAGAATTTAAAATTGAAAGTAAAGTTATCGTTGGCAAATAATGGCATAAGTTTGTTAAAGTGATTTTAGGCAGTAGAAGAATGAAATAGCACAAATTAAAATAGTAAGGAATTTATTCTTTGTAGATTTTCCCACAACCAAAAACTTTTGCATGCGTAATAGCGATTTAAACAGTATATAACTATTCCCACGGGTATTAATAGGTTATTATAGATTGGCTAGAATTGAAATTTTCCCTGTAGATTTTCCCAAAAACCAGAACTTTACATTCCCAGAAGCGATTTATGTAAAAAGAAAAGCATGAATCTACATAGTTAATAAATATTGCCACAAGTGTGAAAAAATTATCACGATTCAGATTATAATTCCGAAAACTTTACACAGATGTCGCCATGTACAAAACAAAATTGCTGCATGGCTCACAAACCTTCTCATCAGGTGGACAGACGGCCACATTCCAGTTTTCCCGCCAATGACACAAATGGTTAAGATTGGAAGCACCTATTCTGAAGATTTCAGCACCACTGATTCCTGATACACTACCGTCGATATCATGGAATGAGATATCGGCACCATGTTCCTTTCCAGTCCATCTGGAATCGAATATCCTGTTACCACTGGATTCCTGGAATAGGGAAATGCACATGCACGCATCACAGAAAAAAACAGTACATTGTACAGTCTAATTAAAATGAGTCACTATTAGAGTTATTTTTGCTCTCTGAAAGATATGCTTGTTGACAATCCGCAATTGTAAGCATTATTATTCATTTTGACTCTATGAAAGATATGCTTGTTGACAATCCGCAATTGTAAGCATTATTATTCATTTTGGCTCTATGAAAGATATGCTTGTTGACAATCCGCAATTGTAAGCATTATTATTCATTTTGGCTCTATGAAAGATATGCTTGTTGACAATCCGCAATTGTAAGCATTATTATTCATTTTGGCTCTATGAAAGATATGCTTGTTGACAATCCGCAATTGTAAGCATTATTATTCATTTTGGCTCTATGAAAGATATGCTTGTTGACAATCCGCAATTGTAAGCATTATTATTCATTTTGGCTCTATGAAAGATATGCTTGTTGACAATCCGCAATTGTAAGCATTATTATTCATTTTGGCTCTATGAAAGATATGCTTGTTGACAATCCGCAATTGTAAGCATTATTATTCATTTTGGCTCTATGAAAGATATGCTTGTTGACAATCCGCAATTGTAAGCATTATTATTCATTTTGGCTCTATGAAAGATATGCTTGTTGACAATCCGCAATTGTAAGCATTATTATTCATTTTGGCTCTATGAAAGATATGCTTGTTGACAATCCGCAATTGTAAGCATTATTATTCATTTTGACTCTATGAAAGATATGCTTTGTTGACAATCCGCAATTGTAAGCATTATTATTCATTTTGGCTCTATGAAAGATATGCTTGTTGACAATCCGCAATTGTAAGCATTATTATTCATTTTGGCTCTATGAAAGATATGCTTGTTGACAATCCGCAATTGTAAGCATTATTATTCATTTTGGCTCTATGAAAGATATGCTTGTTGACAATCCGCATTTGTAAGCATTATTATTCATTTTGGCTCTATGAAAGATATGCTTGTTGACACTCCGCAATTGTAAGCATTATTATTCATTTTGGTTGAAAGATATGCTTTGTTGACAAATCCGCAATATTAAACTTTATTAGTGATATTTGCTCTATGAAAGATATGCTTTGTTGACAAATCCGCAATATAAAACTTTATTAGTTATATTGGATCTATGAAAGATATGCTTTGTTGACAAATCCGCAATATTAAACTTTATTAGTTATATTTGCTCTTGGAAAGATGTGCTTTGTTGACAAATCCGCAATATAAAACTTTATTAGTTATATTGGCTCTTTGAAAGATCCGCAATATTAAACTTTATTAGTTATATTTGCTCTTTGAAAGATCTGCAATATTAAACTTTATTAGTTATATTTGCTCTTTGAAAGATATGCTTTGTTGACAAATCCGCAATATTAAACTTTATTAGTTATATTTGCTCTATGAAAGATATGCTTTGTTGACAAATCCGCAATATAAAACTTTATTAGTTATATTGGATCTATGAAAGATATGCTTTGTTGACAAATCCGCAATATTAAACTTTATTAGTTATATTTGCTCTTTGAAAGATCTGCAATATTAAACTTTATTAGTTATATTTGCTCTTTGAAAGATATGCTTTGTGACAAATCCGCAATA